GTCTTCCTCAGAAGAGTCCCTTGTCCCATAAATGTTTTTACTTGGCTTCTTGTTAAGTCAGGACTCCTCTTCAGGCTAGGCACCCCTGAAATCAGAGTCCTGCGGTAGACCTTCAAAGAGGCCACACGGCCTAGCCCAAGTATCTGCCCTTGTTAATTGGGAGTTAGTCCATCTAATGACATTCTTTTGTGTCACGTGATCTGGTAAAACCATGATCAGACAGACTCATCTCCTGACACACCTGGCATTTCCAGGGAGGGACCAAGATTGAATCAAGGAACAAGTTGCATTAAGGGGCAGCAGTAGACTCCCTTTCCGTCTGCTTTGAGAGGAGAATCCTTCAATGATTTAGCACCCCAAGCCTTGAAGACTTGAGCTGGATAAGGATTGACTTGGGCCATGGCCAAGAAGGATGGACAGCTGTTTGTATAATGTTACCTGCCTATCACTTAAAAGGACTGTAATGGGAAAAGAATGTAAAAAAAGAGTGGATATATGTGTACGTATAACATACATGTGTATGTATACGTATGAGAGTCACTTTGCTGTAGAGCAGAAACTAACACAACACTGTATATCAACTATACTCCAATAAAAACTAATTTTTTAATAAATAAAAAGTTTTTAAAAGGACTGGAGAGGAATTTTAAAGATAGAGGCTTTGATAATTAGTTTGAGAACAAGGAAGATTCTGAAAGAAGAGATCATTTAGAAAGAAGGCTGAAAAAATGCAAGCTGAGAGATCCGGACAAATGCATTGAAACTATCTAAGGAAAGTATCAGGAGGCAGGTGTGAGAAAGGAGTAAGGCCGTGCTTGCCAAGCTTTTCCAATGAGGTAGCCATAGCATTAGAACAAAGTGAGCGGTAACTGGAAAAGTCAGGAGATAGCCCAAAGGAGCCTCCTCGAGCATGAAAACATCGTGTTGGCTTTAACATAAAATGTTTTAAAATTCCCGGTTAGACTTTCTAACCTTTCGCCCAATCCTCCAAGTATAATCGACACACCAGGAAGATGCCCCGTATCCTCTCCTAGACTCCCACCATCAGCCTTACTGTGTTACATGCAATCTGGTTTAAGAACCAAAGGTTGAAAAATACCAAGGGGTGGGGCGGGGTGGCGGTCATGTCATTGAATCCAAGGACCTGGGCACCCTGGAGAGAAAATGAGGAGACACGGCTTAGGCAGGGGATTTTGCAAGGCAAGCTTGGAGTCGTTTAGGGTTGATTTGGGAGGTGAAGGAAGGCACCAGAAGGTCTGAGGAAGGGGTGACCAAAGTTCTGAACATACAGAAGTTGCATAATTATAGGCACCACCAGGTACCACCTGCACCCTGGGGAGCCGCACCCCAAACGCCGCTGCGGCTTTGGCTGCCTGCCATAGACAGTTTTATTGACAACTTATTGGAGTCCTTCTCCCCATTAAGCTTTCATGATAGTATTCACGTGGTGCTCTGTTTAAGTCTTGGATGAAAGGTCCTTCATCCACCCTTTCCAACACCATTATCGCTGCTTATTATAACGCCATTCAGACCAAAAGCTCCAGGCTTATAATAAAATCAAAGTCTCTTTGTTTTCCTCCAAGGCAATTAAAGGGGGAGAAATAGGTGGGCAGGCATCACTGAGACTTCCCGGAGAAAGGACGCGAGACTAGGAGCTCCTGTCTCACTCATCCGGGCTTGGGACAAATGGAAAAGACCCTGGGAATCAGACTGATGGGCATTCGCTCCTAGGGAACAGCACAGGCCTCCTGCTTCCCAGCTCTTGTCGGCCTGCTGCTCCAAAGCACTGGCTTTCCAGCAAGTCGCGGTTTCCGCAGTCCTTCCTCCCCACCCAGGGAGCACAGACTAAATACCAGCAACGTCCTCCAAGCTCTTCGGTCTTATCTACTGATTGGCCAGTGTAGCAACATGGAGGCTTTAAGCAAAGGAGAATGTTTAGGTTCTAAGTATGAGAAGATTCAAGGATTGGGTCGACAAAAAAGCAAAAAGAGACTTTGCATACAATGCAGAGAGAGCAGAGAAACGGGGAGAGATGGAAACAGGGAGAGGTGTGTTTAATAAGAGAGATAATACGAAGAAGAGGCAAGGAAGAAGCCTGGAAGGGATCCTCGGGAGCTCGCCAGGCCGTGCTGATCAGACGAAGCTAGCCCATCCTCAAGTGAGGGAAGCTGCAGGTGCAAAGCTGAGACGTAACCAGGACACCCTGAATAGATGCACAGAAGAGCGGTTCCCCCTGCGGAGTGTTCTGCAAGATGTAAATGAAGACTCAGAAAAGATCTACAGACGTGGGACCACAGCTTCTGAGGCCTCAGACAGAAATGGCGTTGTTCCAAGATGTCCAGACCAGAGCATTACCTCCACAATCCAGTCTGAGATGTGTTCGTGGCTGAGAAATGCACTGCTGTCTACACCCAGGATGCAAAACGTTACAAAGAGGCACTGCTACCTGTTCCTGGATGATAAGAGTGTGGGGAGGAGAGAGGAAGAAAGGAACAGGGGTAGTCTGGCCAGCACGGCCTCAGGTCACGGCCAATCGGCAACCACACAGAAGACGCAGCAAAGAACAGGTTACACTTGTCACCTGCCGGCTTCTCTGGAGATACCTTTTCTCCCTGCAGAAGGTGAATGGCCCAAGAATTCAGGAGCAAGACAGCAGATGAAATGGCTGGTAAGTAAACATAATGCTACCATCCCTTGTAAATCTAGCTTCTTTCTTGCAATGTTTTCAGACGATCAATAGGCTTGAGTCAATTTGCTTCTTGAATTAGTGGGGAAGATGGGACCATGGGGTTATAAGGTCTCCATGTCCCCGCACATATTAGGAGTAGACTTCATGCACTCTCTTATTTCTTAATTGAAATAATTGCAAATTTGATTCATTCAGAGAGAAACTGAGCAGACAAGGGACTAGCAAATCCACTTTTTTATTTAGTTCAGTTTTTTCAGAATACATCTAATGAGCAACTTCTCCATGCTGGGCATGGGACAAAATTGAAACAGAAGAATCACAGTTCCCTTAGTAGATTATATGTTTATGAATAACTCAGGCTCAAATGGGTCTCCAAAATATATGAGAAATAACAAGAAGATAAGGAAGTGAGATATTTAAAAGGTGTGAGATGGTTGTTTGGAAATATGTTTGTGTTTAATGTAATTAGAAAACTGTATATATGACATTAAGGACAGCAATCATTTGTTGAATTTCTACCAAGCGCCTGGCATAGTTCCAGGACTGCAGGACGGGGGATGGGGGATGGGGGGGAGGGGGATGCTGGTGGGGGAGAGGAAGATGACATGCTCTCAGTCTTGCTGAGCAGACAGCCTTGTGGACCAACTCTAACGCAAAGTAATATAATTGAGCCCTTCATCTCCCCTCTGAAGAAAAATAATTCCTTCCTTCCCCTCCTCCCATTTTTCCCACACCCATCCCTGCCCCAAACTCCAGTCAGGCCATTTCAACCCAGTTCATGATTCTCAGCCAGGAGATGAGGGATGAGATTTCAGATTATCTCCCTGTCCCCCAAAGGAGATTTATTCGTGATTCCACTCTCTAGGTGACTCAGAGGTAGGATTTGAACAACTGATCTCATTAGAATCCTAATCCCTCTAAGAATCTTTTCTTCAACCAAACCTGTAATGAGCTACTTTGATACTGGTTCTTGCTGCCTTGGAGTCCACAGGGTGGTGGCCCTGCAGCATCCCCGTAGGATCTGTGGTCATTAAGGTGAGTTTCAAAGCAGGTGAAAGAGGCTTCCAGGGTTGGGGTGTGGGGCGGCAGAAAGAAAAGAGGCAATGCTAAGTCAAGCAAGTGAAAGAGTTTCCTCTTTCTAGAAAAGGGAATGAGACTAGTGGAGAGAAACGGAGGTGACACGTGACCCTGCTGGTGAGTAGACACAGTCCTCCACCCTCAGGATCAGAGAGAGCTAATGGGGGTAGAGGGATCTTGGTGGAGGGCCTTGGAGCCAATGTGAATGACCAAGGCACATGTTTAGGATATCCGAAAACCAGGGGTGGGAGAAGGGGTCAGGGAGATAAGGGAGATTTGGGTACAAAAACTAGGCTAAAGGGGGTGCCTCTGCTGAGGAAGGCCAGGAGATAACCAAAGGCCAGAAGCTCAGCCTGCTATGTGGTTGGGTGGGGAGGACATTGCAGGGTGGGAGGAAACACCAGAAAGATTATCCTGGAGGAGATTCCCGGGCCCTGCAAAATCCGTCTCAACTACCTCACGCCAGCCTTGGAGAGCGGGTCTGAACAGGAAGTGTTATCCAGCAAAGTCCTTAGCAATTTGGTGCAGGTAAAGGGCAACGGGCCGGGAATGAGAAGACTTGGGCTTGAGTGAGACCAGCTGTAAGACTGGGGGGGCGGAGTTCATTTCACCTCCCTAACCTTGAACTTTTTCCGCTGCAAAATGGGGATTGTGAAGTCTGTTCTGTCTCTCTCAGGGTTTGGGGGTGAGGGGCTCAAACTGGATAACACATATGAAAGGGCTTTGTAAATGGTGAAATGATGAACACACGTAAGGGGTTCTGTTTGTCTTCTTCTCTTCCTCAATGGACAAAGTGGTCATAGTAATGACAGAGGGTGGACTGGCCTTCTTTGGTGATTCCCCACCATGAAAATTGCCAGGGTCCATTGACATATATACATTACCAAACGTAAAATAGCTAGCTAGTGGGAAGCAGCCGCATAGCACGGGGAGATCAGCTCGGTGCTTAGTGACCACCTAGAGGGGTGGGATAGGGAGGGTGGGAGGGAGGCTTAAGAGGGAGGGGATATGGGGATATACGTGCGCATATAGCTGATTCACTTTGTTATACAGCAGAAGCTAAGACAACATTGTAAAGCAATTATACTCCAATAAAGATGTTAAAAAATAAATAAATAAAATATAATATTATTGAGATTTTTTTTTTAATTGCCAGGGTCCTCATGCTATTTTCAGATACCATAGAACGTTCATTCTTTGCACCACCCTTTATGGCATAAATTCTCAGACGTGAAAGAATTCTCTGGCATAAACACTCTCTTATTTCATGCAAGGAAAAAGAATCAAAACGTTGGGGTGATTATGGTTCTGTCATCCTACTGACACAGTCTGAGACTTGGCCTCTGTAAAGCACAGTGGTTGAAAGAACACCTGCTAGAGGCAGACTACCTGGATCTGAACCCTGGCTTCCCCATCTAGTAGCTGTGTGAACTGGGCACGTTACTTAACTTTTCTGAGCCTTGATTCCTCATCTGCAAAATGGAGATAACAATAACCTTGGCTTCATCAGATTGCTGTAAAGATGAAATGAGTGTATGTATATAAACTCATCCCTAACTTAGATCAGCGCCTGGCTCATAGTAAGAGCCCGATGAATGGGAGTGTCCATGGCAATGATGATGAAGCTACGTGGTGCTGATGCTGGTGATGATGACGATGATGGTGATGGTGATGATGATGAACAGGATAGTTGCGGTGGCGGTGACGGTAGTGATGATGGTCATGATGGTACGTCCCCAAGCATAATCATCCCCTTTACTCAGCATTTCTTCCCAGGAACCCAAACCACTTCACACATACACGCACACACACGCAAGCAATGTCTCATCAAAGCTAATGTTTTAATTATAGATGACGGTCAGGGCATTGGCTATGAACTTAAGAAACAATCATCTTGGGGCCCCACTGACTCATTTCATGTCACGAGAAGAATCCCTGCATCACCGAATGACTCACCTTCTCTCCCTCTCCTTACATGGGAAGAACATGCTGGTGCAAGAATAAATGGCTTTATTTTGTTAGACAGCTTTGAACTCGTTGAATGAAAGGAGCTGTTTAAGTACAAAGGAAGAGGTGACGGTGTTTGGGCCAGGTGCTAAATTAAGACTGATCAAGATTGCTCTTTCTTATTGGGACCTACTCTTGGGTAGGTACCTTAGGGATGCATCACCTGTACCCAGACACCTTTACGCTTGGGAAAAAGAGCAGAGGCACAGTGGAAGGGAAGGGAGGAAAGGGTAGACAGCCTCTGACCTTCCAGAGCTTCCTATGATGGAAGAGCTTCCTCTTAAGCAAATCAGTCCTGTCTACACAGACGGTGGCCAACAGGTAGGATTCTGGGCTTGAGAGCAGCTGGAGGTACAGCAACCGAGGCCTGGCTTAAGCTCTCTCCACCCCTGGGACTTGGGACTGTTGTCACTCCCGCATCAGGACGGGCTGGACTCAACAACCATCAGCTGGACTTTGTAAATTTCTCAGCAAGCTACTCTGATTCAGAGAGTTCACGGAGTAGAGAAGGAAGACAAGAACGAGCTGCTGGAGTCAGTGTGTTAGCTCCACTTATAGTTTCACTGATTAATAAGACCTAGAAAGAAGGGAGTCATCGAATTTGGAGGCTAGAAGACCCCTACGACCATCTTATCCAGCTCCATCAGCTGCCTGAGCGACCTTCTCAACGTCCCCACCAGGTGGTTATAAAGGCCCTCCTTGAATGCCTCCAGTGATGGGGAACTCACTGCTTGGTCAGCTCTAATGCTGGGTTCTGAAGACATGCTCTTCTCATCCGTGGCTGCCTAAACATGGAGCTTCTCGTTCACGTGGCTGTTGGCTGCAAGTTCCAAGCTGGGCGGCTGCTGAAGGACTTGCCAGTGGAGCCTGTGGGGGAGATTGGGGTGGGTGAGTTTGATTGACCTTTTCTAGACTGAGGGTGTCACCGGCTCAGCAATTTAACATGTTCAGCACTATCTCAATGGGATAAAGAGTTCCTCACCCATGAGATCAGGAGAGTGAGGCCCATCCCTTCTGCAGTGGGTCTGGCCAGTCGGGATCTTACTTCACAAATAAACCCCCCTTACACGGTGATTCTTAAACTTGAGTGTGCATGGAATCACCTGGAAGCCTCGATGAAACAGACTGAAGTCTGGGGTGGGGCCCAAGAATCTGCATTTCCAGCATGTTCCCAGGGGATGTTGGTACTACTGGATGGAGGACCACACTTTTAGAACAACCACCCTAAACCTTCTCATGTTTAATGTTTTGCCCCTTCAAAGCTTTCAAAGTATGGACTTCGGATCTACTTCAGAGAAACTGGGGTTCGAGCCTTGATTCAGCAAACAGCTGAAAATAGTAACAGCCGCTCCCTCTCTGCAGGGTTTTTGTGGGACCCTGTGTCACCGTGTCTATAAAGCCCCGACACGGGGCCTTGCGATGGCTTCATCCAGATTAAAGGGGGACTTTATTTAGTCTGAACGAGTCTGTATTTTAAAAGCTCTGTGAATCTGGCTTAAACAGGCTTGGTCAGGTCCAGAGCTGGGTATCCCTCATCTGTGCCATCTTGCTGCAGTTCCACTTTTAACCGTGGTCCTCACTGGCTTTGCCATCTTCCAGAACCACTCTGGTGAGTGAGCCACAGCCCCTGCTTCTACAGGAACGGTTGCATCATGGTCTGGATGGAGAAACAGACCAGCAGGCACTGGACTCCTTATGCTGCAGAAGTAAAGTTTATTAGCAAAATAAAAGCGAGGTTACCCTCCCCATCTCAGAGAGATCAGGAGGCAGCAGAAGAGAGAAAATGGAGCAGTCAGGACATCCTGGAGAGAGGAAGCACAAATCCAGGGGCCAGGGCTGAGCTACCGGGCTGGAAAGCCCGTCAACAGAGAAGCACTGCCTGGCTTCAGTCTCCCCCAGGCTGGCTGGGGAAGAAAGGCCTCCGATGGCAGGACTGGGGGTTGAAGCCAAGCGACTACAGACATCTCCCATTTTCTGGCATCTCTGGCTGAGGAGTAATTCAGCATCAAGGCGATGAGCAAGGCCCACAGGAGGCCCGAGAAGGCCCGAAAAGGCAGGGAGAGCAGTGGGTACAGGCTGCAGGGGCCGCACAGGTGCTGGAGGCTAGGGTCGCGCACATGGTGCAGGGGAGTCTGCAGAAGAAAAAAAGGTGCTTAAATATTGGCATGAGAAGTGCATGAAAATCCAAAATAAATAGGCACTTTAGAATTGGAAGAGAAAAGGGGGCTTAGACGGTAGAGGTCCCTCTAGGCCTAGAGAGGGGAGTGACTTGCCCGGAATTCACAGTGAGGCTGCGGCCAGAGCTCAGAGCGCCTGTGTGCAAAGCCGGTGGCCGGCCACTCTCTTCATTTAAACACAGCCCCTGGTCCTGTCCCTTATTTCTCACAGGGGTGTACTATCTGTCCTACCTTTGTCACAGCGTTACTGAGGAACTAAAATGAGAGAATAGATACCACCGCCCCATGCAATATTTTTAAAAGCTCCTGGAATATTCCAGAGAGAATTTAGCAAAACCTAAATGCACAGAGCCCTCAGTATTTTAGCCCCTGTGGGAGTGACTAGCACCTGGGAGCATAACATGGGCCACACAATGGACGGCATGAGCTGCAGAGGCCCTGCACACCCTCCTCCACGTCCAGGCAGCCCACCAGGCTTACTGGGTAGCAAGTTTGTCCCCAGAGGTGGGGTCTGCAATGCCTCGCCTCCTTTTGAGTCATTCCTAATAAGACGTCTCTGCTTTTACACACGATATTGACACAAACAACATCAGGCTACATACTTACAGTCCTCAGTCTCAAGAAGGTTCCAACATGTGGCGATCTCACCCTCCAGCCAGGCCTTGACGTCCAGTAGCACCTGGTACTCCTGGCTCTGCCGCTCCAGGTCAGCCCGGATCTCCGACAGCTGAGCCTCCACATCGCTGATGAGGCACTGCATCTGGGCCAGCTCAGTGCCGAAGCGGGCCCCGGATTCACACAGCCAGTTCTGCAGACCAAAGAAAGAGGGAAAGAGGTTAACAGTCATCGACCCTGTCCTCAGTCTCTTCAGAAAGACTATGACACCCCAAGCCATTGCCAGGCCCCAAGAAAAATCCAGTCCTCAGCTGTGACAACTAGCAACGCTCTGTGACTCTTCCTCGTAGACCTTAGGAGACGTTTGCAGAACCTCCCTCACCACATGAATGTTCTTGCGTCCCCATCTACGAGAGTGTTCTTGCAAAGGTGAGGAATCAGGTTAAAGCTGGGTCCCTGGTCTGTATCTAAGTGACGCATGTACCGAACCTGGGAATTGCCCATGGGAAGCGGGAGCCCAGCTGAGTCTTCCATGCCCACAAAGGAACTCACCAGCATGAGCTGAGCCTGCAGCTCTACCTCCAGGGCCTCGTACGGGCACCGCATCTCCTCCAGCACCCCGCCCAGATCCACAGCGGGCACCACGTCCAGCTCAGTCCGGAGCTGGTCCCCCAGCTGACACTTCAGAGCGTGGACTCCCTGTGGACATAGGAGGATGTCCCATACATGGGGCCCCCACTGCCCTCTACTCAAAGCCTCACCTCCCACTTCCCATCCCCTCCAGCGATTTCCCTGCCCTCCTCTGAGGATGAGGTGCTGCCTGCGTCAGCATAGCAGCTTCCAGAGCCTTTCAGTGGGCAAGGTCCCACGGAAAGCCAGAGCTCCCCTTCAAGGCTTAACAGCGAGGCACGAGCTTCCACCCAAGCAGGAGGAAGAGCCTCACTGCTTCCTCCAAAGGAGCCTGAGTTCACCCCCAGGACGTCTCCACGTGTCACACAAAGGGCCCCGCACCTGCTCGTTGTTCTTCTTGAGGCAGAGCAGCTCCTCCTTCAGGGGCTCCAGCTGGGCCCCCAGGTCAGCCTTGGCGCGTGTGAGGTCGTCCAGCACCCTGTGCAGCCCACAGACATCGGCCCCCTCCCCAGCTGGCAGAGCAAGTGCTCCGTCTGTTACCTTCACCAGGGCAGGCACAGGAGTTGGGGTTAGAGAGCAGAGGGGCCCCAGGACACACCCTACAGCATGCCTTGCTGGCCTTCCCTCTGCCCTCCAGTTGTGAGTTGGCGTTTCCTGTGTCGTGCACTCACAGAAACAGCAGGGTGATCCCCACTCATTCAATACAAAGCACCTAAGACAACCAGGCAGAGTGGCCGGTACTGAGGATACCAGGATGGACCGGGGTCAACGCTGCCCTCGTGGGCAGATGGCCAAAGGGGAGGCTACAGGGCAGCCAGGTGTGCCCACTGTAAACCGTCCTCTTCCACACCCCCAGCTGAGATGGACCCTGGATTCTCTCCCAGGTTAGAAGCCAAACTGGCAGAATGAGAGAAAGGAAACGGCTTCCTTAACTCTGGAGGAGTGAGGCGTCCACAGTGCCCAGAAAAGAGACAATAAAATGTAATGTCCTGGGCTTCCCTGGTGGCGCAGTGGTTGAGAGTCCACCTGCCGATGCAGGGGACATGGGTTCGTGCCCTGGTCTGGGAAGATCCCACGTGCCGCGGAGCGGCTGGGCCCGTGAGCCATGGCCGCTGAGCCTGCGCGTCCAGAGCCTGTGGTCCACAACAGGAGAGGCCACAGCAGTGAGAGGCCCGTGTACCGCAAAAAACAACAACAAGAACAACAAATATATAATGTCCTTCCCTGCTCCTACATTGGACCCTCTAGGGAGTATAAACCCTTTGACCTTCACATGCCTCCACTGTAGGCTGTGGACCATGATTTCTGTCATGAATAATTAGTGCTCACAAATTGGTCGAGCTGCAGTGTGGAAACACATCCTTTACCAAGGCAGCGGAGTTTCGCATGAAATGACCTCGGGGTAGGAAATGCGGGGCCAAGTTCTGGTTCTACCGCTCGACGCCGTGCAACTTCTGGCAAGTGCCATTAGGGCTCTGAGCCTCTGCATCCTCACGAAGGAGATGCCATCACTGCCCTGCCCACTTCACCCAGTTCTTCTTACATAGAATCAAGTGGAGGATGCGTTCCAAATCAGGTTGTAAATTATAAAAGTTAAACAACTGCAGGTCGCCAGGGGTGTTTTCTCAAGACCTTGGGCTTAATGCCCTCTGTTGACTCCTGCTGTAACTGTGGGTTTGGGATCTCGGTCGATTACATCTCCTATACCAAGTGCCTCACGAGAGAGAAGTCCAGGTAGACATCTGGCCCCTCCCCCAAGTGTGGTACCCCAACCCACTTGGTCCTATTGTCATCAGCAGTCAGCTTGGCATTGTCTATTTGCACGACCAGCTGCTTGTTCTCAGATTTGACGCACAGGATCTGGGAAAAGAAAGTACACTCAGGGATTTGCTCGTTCCCAGAGCCATCTATGGCCTCAGTCAAAGGAAGCACCATTGGCTGGGTTCAAACTACAACATCCTCTTGGACAACACGAACTCCCAAACATGTGAGCTATGCTGGTGTGGTACAGGAGGGGCACATGCAAGAGGATGCGTGGCAAAAGGTGAAGGTATAGAGCCCAAAGAAGCAAGAGATGGAAGGTAGTAGCAAACTGAACATATAGCAAAGACTTAATTTTATTTTGCTAGATATGATGCTTAACCTGGTATAAACAAGCTGTGGAATCTAAGCCACAGAACAATGGGCTGGTTATTACACTTGCAGATAAGGTGGGATCCATTCTTAGTAAGTCCCTTTCACTGGTTGGTCAACCTCCTCAAAGGTCTTCCCTGAATCTAGCCATAGCTCCATGGCCCTTAGTCCTTTTTTTGTTTTTTTTTTTTTTTTTGGGGTACACGGGCCTCTCACTGTTGTGATCTCTCCCGTTGCGGAGCACAGGCTCCAGATGCGCAGGCTCAGCGGCCATGGCTCACAGGCCCAGCCCCTTCACGGCATGTGGGATCCTCCCGGACCAGGGCACAAACCTGCGTCCCCTGCATCGGCAGGTGGACTCTCAACAACTGCGCCACCAGGGAAACCCAATTTAATTTTGGTTTTTGCCTTAGTCTTTTTTTTTTTTTTAACATCTTTTTTGGAGTCATGGCCCTTATTCTGATATTCTTTGTCTTTCTGTCTCCAAAACTAAGATGAAGTCTCTTAAGAAGTATTGCATTATAACCAAAGGGGACAGCAGATATACATAAGAGACCAATATTACTGAATGGATATATACTGGCTCATAAAGGACATTAGAACATACTCCCCTGACCCCTTTTGCTGCACCAGAACTTAGGTTACACTGTTTTTTGCAACTACAATTTAGGAATTGTAAGCACTGAAGCTCAGAAAGCATAAACTCAGAATCCTGGGGAATCAAATCCTACATCTCATCCTTTTCACATTCACATTCACCTTCACTCAAGAGATTCTCTTCCCACAAGTTTGGGGTTAGCAGATACAAACTATTATATATAGACTGGATAAACAAAACATGGTCCTACCGTATAGCACAGGAAACTGTATTCAATATCCTGGGATAAACCATAATGGAAAAGAATATAAAAAAGAATTTGCATACATATGTATAAGTGATTCACTTTGCTGTTCCGCAGAAATTAACACAACACTGTAAGTCAACTATACTTCAATTAAAAATAATTTTATCTGTGGCTGATTCCACTGCCAATCCAGGCCCTGAACATTTAGTGCAGGGTCAGTCAACTTTTTCTGTACAGGGCCAGATAGTAAATCTTTCAGGCTTTGCAGACCATGAATCTCTGTCATGACTACTCGACTCTGCTGTTGTAGCACAAAAGCGGTCACAGACAATACGTCAGTGAGTGAGCGTGGCTGCGTACCAATACAACTTTAGTTACAAAGTCAAGCAGGAGGCTGAATTTGGCCTAGGGACTGTTGCTTGCCAACCTCTGATCGAGAGCATCGCAAACCTCACTTTCTGCTGCAGCTCCTCGATAGTGCAGAAGTGGCTCTGATAGTCCAGACACATGGTGGCCTCATGGCATTCGCTCGACTCTTGGATCTGGGTCTCCAGCTCCATGTTGTCCCGCTCCAGGTGGCGCACTTTCTCCAGGTAGCTGGCCGGCTGGTCATTCGGGAACTGCATGGTCTCCTTCTCATGGCTGTTAAGGGAGCCTTCACCATAGGTCCTGCAGATTCCGATGTTGCCAGGAATGTGGCAGGTCCCCAGCAAGGGGCAGGCGGCATTGCAGCTGTGGGCAGACAGAGGCTGGGTCAGCCCAGAGGGGTTGTTCCCACTGGGATTCGGTTGGCGTGTGCCAGAGTGGCTGAGAGACATAGGGGGGCATTGTTGACCTCTGCCCCAGGCTAGTCTCTAATGTCAGTGGAGGAGACACAGATGTTTCTTGCTCCAGGAGTGTTGGTGCAGCCCAGGCAGTGGGATGAGCTGATGTAGGAGGAAGTTATGGTGAGCTGAGGATGCACAGGAGGTTCAGAGCCGCTGGGAAGGCTAAGCCACTGAATCTGACAACCCTCTTCCCTCCCGGCCCTTTTAAACCCCATCCCAGGTGGGTGTGGTCTCCATGCTTTGACCTCCCTGCTTGATTCTCTACCTCCTGTTGCGCCATCATCCTGCTACTCAGCTGTTGAGTTTACCATTAGGAGTTCCTTATCTCATTAAAGGAATGTTGAAGAATCTGAGGTGCCTCTTGGCTCTCTGATATCAGGTTGGCTGTGGGTGGGAAGTCAGAAGCTTTTTATTATTTTAAAAGAACAGAAGTCCTTTCAGCCATCAGATGTTTGTGCTTTGACTGGGGTTGGCCTCCTTGTTGATGTGTCCACACAGAAGGCATGACTATTCCTGTTGGTCTTTGGAGCAGCAAGAGAGACAAACTTCTATGACTACAGTGGCATTGACCTGGGTGAAAACTCAACCAGCCTTCCCGACCCAGGGAAGAAATTGATTCTTAGTAGATGTTATAGGCTTCTTGATTAACAAGAAGTTCTGTATTTCTTCTTTCTTCAGTTGTTTGCCTTTTGGTCTCATTTTAAGGGGCAAAAAGACTATGAAGTCCATTCATTCAGCACATCTCCTGGCACATCCTATATGCCAGGCTCATACCTGACACACAGTTGGTTACGTTCCTGTCCATCAGGAAGCACAATAACTTGGGTAGCCATGGGTGTCTTAAATAGTGTCTAAGAAACTCATCAGTATGAGGGTGACTCTGAAGACCATGCCTGATCCAGACCAAAAACAGAGAGCTCAAGAAGCCAATAACAAACAACACTGAACAATAATCTTTTGGAATATCATCTAAGAACTTGACCATGAAACTCAAAAGATTTGTATTATCAGAGTCACTGCAACCCCTCTTCCTGCCTTACTTCCTCGATTCTAAAGTCTGTTATGATAGGAGCACCTATCATGTGTGTTAGGAGCACCTATCATGTGTGTAGGGGATTTATCAACCATATTGTCTATATCCTTCCTACACCGTATAAAGTGGGTATTCTTATCTTAATTTTACAAAAATAAATAAATAAGGTTTTGAGGACCAGAGATGTGAAGTCATTTTTCTTGGCTCAAGCCAATTATAAAGTGTCAAAGCCGTTCTCGGTATCTGTTTCCTTCCACTCCAAAGCCTATTCTTATTCAACTTGACTTCCACCCAATCCCCTACCCTAGCCCCCAACAGAACAACTGTGTCATTGCCAGAATTAAGAAGAATTAAAAGGCTCAGAAACTGGGCAAGAAGTTGAAATTAAGAGATAAACAAGGGGCTTCCCTGGTGGCGCAGTGGTTGAGAGTCCGCCTGCCAAAGCAGGGGACACGGGGTCGTGCCCCGGTCTGGGAAGATCCCACATGCTGTGGAGAGGCTGCGCCCGTGAGCCATGGCCACTGAGCCTGCACGTCCGGAGCCTGTGCTCCACAACGGGAGAGGCCACAACAGTGAGAGGCCTGCGTACCGCAAAAAAAAATACAGTACTGGCCAGATGAAACACATTTCAGGCTGGATGTTGTCCTCAGGCTGCCTGTCCTGTCTCTGGGCTATTTGGCCTCCATCCAATGTTCAGTGTGTTGTTGCTGGGTTTTTTGTTTTTTTTTGCGGTACGCGGGCCTCTCACTGTTGTGGCCTCTCCCGTTGCGGAGCACAGGGCCCGGACGCACAGGTTCAGCGGCCATGGCTCACGGGTCCAGCTGCTCCGCGGCATGTGGGATCTTCCCGGACCGGGGCACGAACCCGTGTCCCCTGCACCGGCAGGCAGACTCTCAACCACTGCGCCACCAGGGAAGCCCCTGTATTTTTTTAAATTTGTTGAAAAGGTTTAAAAATCAGGAGAACTTAAAACATTTGTTTTAAAAGAACCTAAACATTTAAAAGAAATGCAGCTTCCCAGCTTCCCTTGAATAATGAGAAGATCCAGCAGTACTGAATCTTCATCATATGTGGTAGAAATGGCCCTGAGGAGGCAGCACCACCTTCATTGGACAAGCCATAGCTCCCTGGTTATCCACTGTCCCACAGTAACACCCATGTCACTCACGTATGTTCATGGCCTAGTTCTTGAAAAATATTTGACTTTGCAACCCTTGCCCTGGAGGGCAAGATTCTAAATGGCAGAGAAGCAAGGCTGAATGTCTACCTACAATCATCAGCCCATCAGGTACCCAAGGCCCAGAGGTATCCTGCATCCAGGCAGCCACCAAGCCCTGCCAATTCTGCCTGTACCACGGCTGGGGGCGGATGCCTCCACTGCCCACATTCAGACCCTCCCCATTGTTTATTACCTAGACCACATCCAAGGCCTCCTGGATGGCTCCTGTGCCCAGCCCTTCCTCCCTCTCTCTACTCAGCCCTTCCTGTTGCCATCTGTGCCATCTTCCTGAAGAGCAGCTTTGAGCTCTCATTGACTTGGTCAAGAAACGTTTACTGAGCATCTACTATGCACCAGATGGAGGGGATAAAAATATTTTTTCTCTGAGTTCCAGTTGTTTACCATCTAGCGAGGAGCTAGGCAGTTAAGCAATTCTATCATTTCCTCCTCAAAAAAAAGTTAAGGCCTCCCAACTGCCTATAAAATAAAGCCCTCCCTCCCCAGCATGGCCTTTGTGGTTCACCGTTGAATGGGGCCCAGCTGATCTTTCCTGTCCTCCTTTCCACCACAGCTCAACACATGAAGCTACATAATCCTTCCAAGTGCCCCAAACATCCACCCTTCCCCAGTATGATCTCCAGTGGCATGTCTGTCTCCCTGGAGATGGAAAAGGCTTGAGAACAGATGCTTTGTCATCATCCGTCTCAGTATCCCCTGGCACACGCTGGCACACGCTGAGCACTTAGAAGGAGTCTGCCAACTTGGAATGGAGCAGAATGGTCCCAATGGGCCAGGTGTGGGATGGCAGCATGAAGACCTGCCTGACGTCTTTGGATCATCCCAGCTTCCTAATCCCTTATTAATCATGACAGGGCTGTACCTTATGGGTAGATCCAGTTGCTTCCTATAACCTCCTCCAAACCTCTCACACCCCAGGTACTTGCAGTCCTCGTTCTCCAGCAGCCCCCGGTACGTGTTGATCTCAAACTCCAGCCAGGCCTGGACATCCAGCAGCACCCGGTACTCCTGGCTCTGCCGCTCCAGGTCACAGTGGATGTCGGCCAGCTGGACCTCCAAGTTGGTGATCAGGCATTGCATCTGGGCCCGCTGGGAGCTGTAGCGGGCCTCCGTCTCTGCCAGGGTAGATTCCAGAGAGTCTCTCTAAGGCAAAAGGAAAGACAAAATAGCTGTGAGGAGAGGACCTATTTTCCATGACCTTAGAAAGAACCGAGAAACGGCCACTGTGGAAGACAGTATGGAGGTTTCTCAAAAAACTAAAACTAGAAATACCATATGACTCAGCAATTCCACTCCTGAGTATATATATGAAGAAAACAAAAACGTTCAGAAGGATATATGCGCCCCAGTGTTTATAGCAGCATTATTTGCAATAGCCAAGACATGGAAGCTACCTAAGCGTCCATCAACAGATGAGTGTATAAAGAAGATGTGGAGTTTATATACACAATGGAATATTACTCAGCTATAAAAGAGAATGAAAAAAAAAGAGAATGAAATAATGCCATTTGCAGCAACATGGATGGACTTGGAGGGCATTATGCTAAGTGATATAAGTCAGAGAAAGACAAATACTGTATGATACCACTTATACGTGGATTCTAAAAATACAACAAACTAGTGAATAAAACAAAAAAGAAGCAGACTCCCAGATATAGAGAGCAAACTAGTGGTTACCAGTGGGGAGAGGGAAAAGGTGAGGGGCAATATAAGGGTAGGGGAAAAAAGGGTTATTAGAGAATTATGTGAAATCACGCATGTGAAACTTCTGAAAATTGTAAAGCGCTATAGAATTTAAAGAATCTTCCATTCAATTTTTTAAAAAAAGAAAGAAAGAAAGAGCCGAGAAGAGCCAAGTCTCTCCTTGGGTTTGGGAATGACCCCTCCCTACCTGAGTCACTGAGGAAACTGAAGCCCAGAAAGGTCAAGAGACTTGTTCAAGGTTAAACAGCTGGGAAGTGACAGGCCAGGGTTTGAACCTACGTTCACGTGACGCTAAATCCCTTATTCCTTCTTCAACCTTACTCAGGCTTCAGGCCTTGGACCTGAGGTTCTCCAGGCTCCTCCGCTACAAGCACCACTGAGATCAGTGGTCTTCAACCCTGGCTGCACTTTAGAGTCATGTGGGAGACGCTAAAAAAACGCCCATGCCCAGGCCCCACCTCCAGAGACTCTGCTATAATTCATCTGGGGAAGAACCTGGGCATGGAGACTTTTTAAATCTGCACAGGTGGGGTTGAGAAGCATGGGTTTGGAAGGGCAGGCTAAGCAGAGGACAAGCCTTCTTGGGAAGTGTTTGACAGGGGCCTCCTAACCCACATCAGATTTGAAACATGGCCCTTTTATCTCTGAGCTGGGTCTTGGGAGAAACTTCCCTGCAGGAGAGGTCAGCTAGGCAAGCAATTGTGGTGGTTAAATCTGGACCTCCTCCCCCTCGCCGTCCCCCTCCTCCCGCCTCTTCCTCTTCCCCCTCCTCCTTCCTGGACGCCTGCCCCTACATTCGGTGCTGCCTGAGCTCCAGAGCTGGGAGACAGGCGCCCACAGGCGCATTCACCAGGCTGTGTCGGGCCTGCAGCTCGATCTCCAGCGTGTTGACCGTTCGTCTCAGATCATTGATGTCTGACTGGTAGCTCTGAAGCTGCTCAGAGCTTGTGGCTACCTGCTGGTTAAGTGCTTCCATCTGCAATGGGGGAGACAGGAGAAGGCTGGGGGTGCCTCTCGGGGATCCTGGGGAGGCCAGCCCCCTGCGAGAGGCCCGCCTGCCTGGTGAACCATTCCTCCATGTCCCTGTGATTAGTTCTCCACCAGGGCCCCGTACTGACACCACATCTCTTCCAGAACCCTGTTCAGGTCCACGGGGGTTGCGGCGTCCACGTCAACGTTAAGGCGGTCCCCAAGCTGGCATCGGAGGGCATCGACTTCCTGAAAAGACACAAGAACACCAGGCAAGTGTGAAGTCGTGAGATCCTAGATCACCTCCCCAAGGAGATGTGAGAAGATGGAGCAAAGGATGCTAAAGACCTCTGCCTTAGAGGGGCCCTGTGAGGACTGCAGCCACTCTGCAGCATCCTGAGGGTCTTTCAGCTCCACCTGGACGCCCCGTGATGGGAGAGGCTTCCTATGGCTTTGGCAGAAGCCAGGAGCAACATCAGGGTTTCTTTGGCCCATTTGGACTAAAATGGGACAACTGTGCCCTGTCTCCCCGGCCCCGCTCCCAGCCTGCGTTCATGTGGGAAGGAGCACCGCAGGAGCCTGGCTTTACTTGGTTCAAGGCCCAAGTGAGAGCAGGCGCCTCCCAGGCTCCTGCCAAGAAGAGAAAGTTGCTGCTGAGGCTGCCGATACCAGCGATAACTCCTCATTAGTGGCCTCCTGGGGCAGTTCCCAGTTCTCTGATCCAGATGGGGTGAGTCAGGTGCCTTCGGGCGCTCATTGAGTATGTGGTAACATTGTTACTTTACACTTCAGCCTGAGGAAACCCAGCCAGGATTCAGAGGCACTTGTGCTTTCAAATCCCAAGTTGAGAGGTTGAGTGTCAACCCAGGGAAAGAGGTAAAAAACACCAGCGCTCAGGTGGGCTTTACAGCATACAGGTGCCCAGGGTGGAGGGGTTCCCCTCCAAGGACCTACAGGAGATGAGGAAAAATCAGAAAGCAGAGGGTCGACCTGTGGCTTTTGGATTAAGTGTATTATATGCAAACAGAAGAGAGGAAGGGGAACAAGGATGGGGAGAGAAGAAAAGAAGAAAACCACTGCAGTTCACCTCTCCCTTAGACGAGATGGGGGCCACCCCCCGCAGTCCAGCCTAGCAGAGACGGACGGGCCATTCCATGTTGGTTCTAGAAAACAGCCCCCTCCAGCCCTAGTGGGCCACTCTACCCCTGTTATGCAGCTCTCATGAGAAAAACAAGTCACCACAAGCCCTTGGCAGTCACGCCAGTCCAGGAAATGCAGAAGGGAAGGTCGTTAGCATTTCCAAGCACCAACCAAAGGACAGGTGTTTAAGACCTGTGACTTCATTGAATTCTCACAGCAGCCTTGTTGATAGAGTTAGCCCCATTTTACAGATGAGAACATAAAGGAAAGGTTACAGAAGGGTTAAATAAATTGGGCAAAGTCACGTATACAATCTGTGGCCGGCCTGGGAATTTCAGCCCGTGACTACCCAACCCCAAATCCCACGTTCTTCTCACTGGGCCCCCCAGGACCACCTCAGCTGGACTTCAGGGCTCACCTCCTCGTGGTTCTTCTTGAGACACATCAGCTCCTCCTTCAGGGACTCCACCTGCATCTCCAGGTCGGCCTTGCACAGGGTCAGCTCATCCAGCACCCTGCACAGGCTACTGGTGTCGGTCTCCACCAGCTGCCACATGGCCAGCCCCATCTCGTACCTGTGTCAGGACAGGGTCAGCGACTGAGGGGTGAAACTGAGTGCCAACCCCAGGGAAGACCTTGAGCCACTGGCGCTTTTCCTACTGTCTATGAAACAGAAAGCTGCCCCCAGGCATGTGCCGGGAGACAGGGCGCCTCCGTCCCCTGGCCGAACTCACTTGGTCCTGAAGACATCGGCAGCCACCCTGGCATTGTCGACGTGCACGATCATCCTGGCATTCTCTGCCTCGGTGTACAGAACCTGGGGGCCACAGCACACAGAGGGGGTCGGTCCAGGACAAGAAGAAGGAAAAGAACCCAAGTGAGGAGAACCAGTAGTCCTGCCGCCATCCCTGCCGAAGCCTCTGGAACTCTGAGGGATATTCAGTGAACTGCAAGTCCTCAGAAAACGTGAGGTTTATTTTTCAGGCACCTGGGTCTTCATAAATCTGAATGCCCCATTTTGAATGCAACGAGCAACGTGGGAGGAAAAACTCTGTTAGACATGACAGTGAGAAGGGTCCTTAACGAGCACTCAGGTTTACCGAAAACTCACCACGTACCGAGGGCTGGGCTAAGCACTTTACCTGTATTAACCCATGGAAACGTTTTGACATAAGGACCCTTATTATCCCCATTTTCCAGATGAGGAAACTGAGGCCCAGGGAAGGGACCTCCTAGAGTCACGCAATGAATCCATGACAGAACTGAGACTAGATCCCAGGCCTCTTTCCACGTGAAGGGCTCCAGCTGAGCACTCGAATTAGGAGACAATCCTGCGCCCTAGGGAAGTTTCTTTTCCCTGAACGTAGCTTAAGAAACGAGTGAGATTCAGATCTGGAAGGCCAGCTCTTTGGGTCTCCTTCCCAGGGAGTCTGTTCACCGCTTGCCCTCACCTTCCGCTGGAGCTCCTCGATGGTCTTGAAATAAGACTGCTAGTCAGGACCCAAGGCAGGCGCTCGAGACCGGGAGGCATCTCAAATGCGGTCTCCAGCTGTGCGTTGTCTCGTTCCAGCTGGCGCACCCTCTCCAGGTAGCTGGCCAGGTGGTTGTTCAGGAACTGCATGGTCTCCTTCTCATCGCCATCGAAGGAACCCTCAAAGTATCGGCTGTAGGAACCCGTGGAGCCGGAGCTTCTGCTGGTCGGGTGGCAGCTGCCGGGCTGGCAGGAGCTGGCTAGTGCGCCTTTGAGAGGCACGTGGCTGGCCGGTAGGGGGTGGGCGCACAGACAGAGGGCACGCACATCCCGGGCTGGCAGACGTAACCCAGGCACAGCTCCAGCCGGCAGCTCGTGCTGCTGGAGCAGACAGAGGGTGACTGGGGGCAGCTCTTGATGGAGGCTGGGGAGCAGTTAGACGTCATGTCGGAGAGGCTGCAGCTGCGTGAAGTGTCAGTGTCTGCCAACCCCATTCCGCTCGGGCCTTTTTATGCACCCTTGGAGTCAGGGGGCTTATGCTAGAAGACCACCAGTCCCAGAGGAAGCTGCTAATTCATTCGTAATTTGGTTTCCAATAAGGAGTTCCTTTCCTCATGAAAGAGGCCAAGCTTGTCATTTGGCTAAGGCAGGACTCTGGGCTCCCATCATTGATGACCGGGCGAGCGCCTCAGGATACATCTTCAAAGGACCAGCTCCAGGCCCGGGCCCTCATCTCTAGGGTGGGGCTGCCAGGCCTGGCTCTGTGCTGCCAGTGGCATTGCCCCCTGCGGCCCCACCTGCTCTGTCCCTGAGAGAGGCCACAGTTCTGTGGGGCAGCGACCCCTCCTTTTAATGAGATCATTCCCTGCGGGAAGAGGAGGCCCGGCCCCTTACGGAGGAAATGTGTGGGTGACGGAAGCTGCACCGATACTGGCAGTGGTGTGAATCCAGGGAGGAAAGAAAAAGAGCCTCTGAGTCTTATTAATGTGCATCATCTTCCTCCCAGGGGAAGAAAATAATATTAGGGAGGAGAGAACAAACTCAGCACAGCCTAAGAATCAGGGACCTCCTTTCAACTGGATGCTACTGAGAGAGAGGTAAGGACCCCAGTCTTGGGAAAGGAAGTCAATGCCATGAATATCTCTGTGAGCAGATGCTCTATCTCGACCATCTCTGGATCCTCCCCTTCGTTTCTCACTGCTCCACCTACAGAGAGTTCGATTATTGTTGTTGAACAAGCTGGAACTGGCTCTGACCTCGCTTTCTGCAATGGGGGGGCTCACTCTGGGACCCCAGAGACAGGAGCAGAGTGAATCAGCTCCCTTGAGAAGTGACACTGCAGCTCTGGGATGAGCAAAGCCAGGAGACCAGGAGCAAGTGTCTCTGATTCTAGAAGCCACTGGGCACTCCTTAAGAAAGCAGCAGGTGAGACCAGTGGTTTTTAGTCCTGCCTGTAATACTTGTGGGCTCACACACTTCGTGTTTACTATGGGTGTGTTATATAGCCACTTTTTATTTACGCATCTTCTCAATATAATATTGAAGTATAAGTACTTTTCTTCTTTTTCATATATTTCTAGAAGAGTTGGTGAAGGGGCATGGAAGGAAAAATGCCACCCAGCCCTATTCCCTGAAATGTGTTGCTTAAGAAAAGTCAAAATAGAGATGCTACCTTCTAACTAGCTGTGTGACCTTGGGAAAGTCACTCTACCTCTCTGGGCTTCAGTTCCCTCCTGCAAATTGAAAGCGTTAGATTAAATCATCTCTCAGTTTGATTTCCTGCAATAACCATGAATTCCAGTTCTTTTGTCTGTATTAACTGTTTAGAGAGGACAGAAGGACGGGTGATGCAAATACCAACCACATGGAGTGACACTCATCAGACCAGCCTTCAGAATCATCACCAGCACTTTTTGAACGTGTACAAGTACCAGGTACTGTGCTGGATGCTTGGCATTAAATTGCCCATTTAATCCTTACCCTAAAAATATAAGATATAATTACACCTTGGAGATATTGCAGGTTCAGTTCCAGACCGTGGCAATCGAGCAAATATTGCACTAAAGCCAGTCACACAAATTTTTAGGTTTCCCAGTGCATATAAAAGTTACGTCTACACTGTGCTGTAGTCTATTAAGTATTCAGTAGCATTATGTCTTTTAAAAATGTACAGAATTTAAAATGTTCATTGCAGCTCTATTTACAATAGCCAGGACATAGAAGCAACCTAAGTGTCCATCAACAGATGAATGGATAAAGAAGATGTGGCACGTATATACAATGGAATATTACTCAGCCATAAAAGGGATGAAACTGAGTTATTTGTAGTGAGGTGGGTGGACCTAGAGACTGTCATACAGAGTCAGAAAGAGAAAAACAAATATGGTATGCTAACACATATATATGGAATCTAAAAAAAAAAGAAAAAAAATGGTCAGAAGAACCTAGGGGCAAGACGGGAATAAAGATGCAGACCTACTAGAGAATGGACTTGAGGATACGGAGAGGGGGAAGGGTAAGCTGGGGCAAAGTGAGAGAGTGGCATGGACATATATACAGTACCAAACGTAAAATAGCTAGCTAGTGGGAAGCAGCCGCATAGCACAGGGAGATCAACTCGGTGCTTTGTGACCACCTAGAGGGGTGGGATGGGGAGGGTGGGAAGGAGGGAGACGCAAGAGGGAAGAGATATGGGAACATAGGTATATGTATAACTGATTCACTTTGTTATACAGCAGAAACTAACACACCATTGTAAAGCAATTATACTCCAATGAAGATGTTAAAAAAATAAATAAGTAAATAAAATTTTTTAAACATGTACAGAATTTAATTAAAAAATAATTTCTTGCTAAAAAATGCTAATCATCATCTGAGACTTCAGAAAGTCGTAGCAGTAACATCAAAGATCGCTGATCACAGATCACCGTCACGAATATAATAATCATGAGAACGTTTGTGAGAATTGCCAGAATGTGACACAGAGATACGCAGTGAGCAAATGCTATTGGAAAAATGGCGTCAATAGACTTGTTCAATGCAGGGTTGCCACAAACCTTCAATTTGTAAAACACGCGGTGTCTGTGAAGCACAATAAAGAAAAGCACGAGAAAGTGAGGTCTGCCTACACTCATTATTGCAATAACGTGTAGTGGTGGTTCTCACAACGTGGCCTCCTGACCAACAGCATCAACATCACTCAGGAACACGTTAGAAAAGCGGTTTCTCAGGTCCATCCCAGACCAGCTGAATCAGGGACTCTGAGGGTGGGACCTAGCCATCCGTGTTTAACAAGTCCTCCAGGTGGGTTTGAGAACCACTGGGTGATAGGAGCATATATATCTTTTTTCTAAGTGTAATTTCCATATCATTGTTTTTTCAGAGGACAGGATCTCTTCAGTCTTTAAGGAATTAGTTCTGCGGGTCTAAATCAGAAGGAAGCCAGAAATGAAAGTGGGGCAAGGAAAAGGTGGACGCCCATCCTCAGAGCAATCCTGGCGTCCTGCTGGAATGGAGCTAATGATAGTTACCAGTTTTCAGATGCTAAGCGTGTGCTCTGCAAAGCACCAGGGACCTTACAGCACGGTAAGTGTCCTGTTCTCTATTTCACTGATGAGGAAACTGAGACTCCCCAAGGGACTACCACCTGTTAAAGCTCCCATAAGCAGTAAACGCTGGGGCTAGGATTTGAACCCAGGTCAGGCTGACCACATTCGGAGCCCATGTTTGTCACACTAAGGCCACGACCCCCTTTAGCTGGCCTCCTTCCACCACTGAGGTAGGACAGGAGAGAGGCAGTGAGTGGACATCCTTCCTGTCCCATCCCAAGGCTTCCCTCAGACAAGGGTCAATCCCACCCCTGGCACCTGACACACTGCCTGGCCCAGGGAGGCACTTAGTAAAAGTTTGCTGAGTGAACTGAATGATCCTGAGACCCTCATCTTCTTTAGGACCAAGGGGTTCCAAGAAGATGGGAGCTGAGGTGGTGCCGGGCACCAGGAGTGAGGGTGCTGGGAGAAACCAAAACTCCAGGCCTTCCTTTACGGGGGATGGGAAAGGGGAGGATTCTAAAATTGAATCAAGGTGAACTCTACTGGGTGCTCTTAAGGGTTGGGGGTCTCAGGACTACCTTGGTCAGCATCTTTCACCCATCTGTTCTCCACCTGGAGCACTGTCACACTCTCTTGACGTCGCTGAAGCTCCTTAGCTGTGCTCTTGGCATCTTATGAAGAGCGTATGGCCATCTAGGGACAACCTGTCTTCCTTTCTATCTCAGAGTTTTCCCTTCATCCTTCTCCATTTCCCATTGGGATTGGTGGGGCTTTTGTCATTTGCCTGGTCTGTCGAGGAGGGACATTCTGGGCACAAGTGAGTCTCTGGTCCGAGATGCTGGGAGCTCCCACTTCCATGCGGAAATGCCTTGGGACCCAAAGGCACCATGCACGTCATCAGAGGTCAAGAGCACATGAGAACATGATGAGTCTCTTAAGAACAAGACTGTCTGGAGTGTGGGTGGAAGTCACAGCGGCGGGCTCACTCTCCCATCTCCTGCTTTGGATGGGCTGTGGGTTTTAAGGGGGGTTGCTGAACTGGAAGGGCTGTGTGAAGAGGTTGAAGATATCACGCTTCTAAAAGCGTGGGACTTTTATGGAGTCCCCTGGGTGTGGGATTCCGTACTGTTTCTCTTACAAGGACCACAGGCATGAGGCTAATGAAGTGGCCTAAAATGCTTCACATTATACCGATCTCAGCGTTAATCATCCTCTCCTGGGACCCCAGAGCGACCATATATACTAAGAGGGTAGTAGTAGGGGTCTGGTCACCTGTCACCTGTCACAACACTGGAATCTTGGAGAAGGGTCTTAATCAGGAAAGCTGAGCTAAATGCTACACTGTAGACCTCTAACCACCCCAACTAGGGGCACAGGGACCCTGTCATCCTCAGGGTCATACATGGTCCAACCTCCCCCATTCATCTGCCCAAGAGTCACCCCTCCTCACCCAGCAGAGACACAAACCAACAATATCAGAACAGAGCTGGTTAGGCATGGAGAACCAGAGCAAACGCTCTTTATTGTTCCTCCAACAGGAGCCTTCTGCTGCATTTCAGACCCCACCAAAACAGCACCCAGAAGGGAAACCTGGCCCAGGAGGCAGCCTGAGAACAGAGACTCTGACCTCCGTTGAAATGATGAGCAGCTGAGGGCTTCAGGGTTGGCCAGCCTTAGTGACAGGCTTTGAGAAAGGTGAAGGTGTGGAAGCCTTCTCAGGGCCAGGCCTAGGCCCTGAGATTGCTGGGTCATATGGTAGCTCTATTTTTAGTTTTTAAAGGAACCTCCATACTGTTCTCCACAGTGGCTGTATCAACTTACACTCCCACCAACAGTGCAAGAGGGTTCCCTTTTCTCCACACCCTCTCCAACATTTATTGTTTCTAGATATTTTGATAATGGCCATTCTGACCGGTGTGGGGTGATACCTCTTGTAGTTTTGATTTGCATTTCTCTAATGATTAGTGATGTTGAGCATCCTTTCATGTGTTTGTTGGCCATCCGTATATCTTCT